AGCAGGTCGGACTTAATGAAGATTTTACCCGTTATTAGCATTAACAATTTTCTATAAAACTCATCCCTACCCTCAAAATTAAGGTTTTCGCATTTTATAATTAATAACGCAAATATTTAAAATCTTTTTTTAACTTCTTTTTAAATATAAAAATTTCGCGAATATCTTCGCTTTCTTTTCGTCTTTTATATCAGCGACAGTTTTTATATTTTTTTTAAAAATTAATAACATTAAGATTTTAAAAATAAAATATCATAATAGATATTTTATTTTTGCAGTTTTAAATTTTATCGCCGGAAGAGTTAAACAACTCGTTGCTGGATATTTTCTTCGGTTTATTTTCTTCGAATATTTCCGGTTAGTTGACTATATTTTAAAAAAATGCATTCTCTAAAACAAGAGTTTCCAACCTAGTCACTATTAGGCTGCAACCTGGTTAAGGTGACAGCCTACCGCTCTGGGGGACCCGGGTTCGCATCCGAACGGGTCGAAAAATTCCCAGGAATTTTTCGGGGAGTGGTCTGTTCGGATATGTCGGGCCCCGTCCCTCACCACCCGGTAGCCCCATTGTGAGCCTGGCCGAACCCATAATGGGCTTGCAAAAAGAGGCCTCTTAGTGCCCACAGGGCGGAAAGAGTTTAAAAAATCATCCGAGGGCGTCTATCGATTATCTGGGAGTTCGATAAATTACTAGGGATTGTTTGGGGATCGCTGTTGGAAAAAAATATATATTTATGTAATGTAATTTTTGAAGTGCAGCGAGTAGCGAGCAAGTTTCCTCGGCAGCGACTCAAATTGATAAATCGCTAAAACACGTTTTGTGAAGTAATGACTCGACACATTTGAACGAAATCTTGCATATTAATATAATAAAATGGTGTGTCGTGACGGAGGCCGGATCTGAAAATTCTATCTAGAACGGGAGATATCGGGGGTCAAAGGTCATCCCATGTTAAGTCAATCGAAAAATTTTGCATTATAAAAACGTAAAGAAGCGAACGCGCGCTATTCTCCATTTGAAATACGATGAAACTCTCGCCAAATATGTTTTAGTACCGATTTTCTTTTTCTATTTTTCTTGAAAAACTGATCATCTATACTTTAACTATATGTGCTAACGTATTACATCTTTCATAAAACAATTAATAATTAAACCTGCATAATAAACAAGGTATAATACGTAACCGTATTATACCTTATTTATTATGCAAGTTTTAGAACCAAGGAAAAATTCTGTATTTATGCATAGTGACTAGTCGCTTTAATTTTGCTCTCCCTAATGATCTAACGTGAGTTCGCAGTCAGAGACGAAGTTTTCCTAGTTATATATGAGTACAGTATATATGCAATACAAAATTTGCATAAATCTGTAAATAGTAAAGCTAGTAAAGTTAGAAATGTGTTGTTTTTCTTTTTCATAATCTATACCAGCGATTCTCAATGTTATTAGATCTCTGAACAACGCGAGTCACAGATGAGCCATGGATTGTATATGTCACCTTGTCCACTTCCTATCCTGCAAATATTGAATATAATAAGATGTGGACCACAATATTTTGTCTCTCTGGTATGAGAGATACGTGATGCGTAAAAATGTTTTTTCCTCTGACTGAACACAGAATTGCATTTGAAAAAATATCAGCAACGAATTGCTTAACTTTCCCGGATACATTTAAAACTGCATGTGGCGCCATATGTATGGTATTTTATAAAAAATTATATAATTAATTATTATATTAATAAAATGGCGAAAAGATTAGAGGGCAGGGATGAGTTTTATACAAAAAAATTGTAAATGCTAATATGAGTAAAATCATCATTAAGTTTGACCCTACTAGAGATACATATGACCCTCTATATCTGAACTATTCTCAACCTTTAACCATTAAAACTTAATAACATGAATCCCTTTTTTTGCAGTTTTCGACGTTTCAAAGTCCTCTGTGTCTAAAAAATGTAAAAATCTTGAGGGTTATTATTTGACCAATCGCCAAACTTCTCATCTGTTATATACAACAAAGCCGGAAAAATAAAGACAAAATTAATTAACATACAGTATTATTATAACAAAGTGAATTTATATTACGGTCGGATTGAATTAATAGGAATAAGGAAACGATCTGCTAAGAGAGTACCTCTCGGGAGGACTTTAATAGAAAAGTTGCACGTATTTAGAAAACCCACAAAACTCCACGCGGCAACACACGAGACCAACTAACCACAAGTGTTCAGTGCTTTTTATTCGGTGGACATGAATTTATATTAAAAATATTGGTATGTCTATACATAAATAGAATCCAACTTACAAAGTCTAAGTGCCAACTAATTTGTTTAGTAAGTCGTTTATATATATATATATATACACTAAATTTTTCATTCATTATATTTAAATAGGACTTACTCTTCTGAAATCTTAGCTTGCGTTTGCGAAGCAAGTGCTTATAGAATAAGCCACACTGCCAAAAGCAATTATATAATTGCATTTTATCGACAAAAATGATACGCAAAGTTCAAATTGATAATAAAAATATAATGCTTTGGATAAAATGGAAAAAAGGAATCAAAATATAAAACAAAAGTCAATTTATATAAGATAAAACTCAAAAATAAGAAAATTCCTACTGTATGAAAACAAAACACCCGAGAGAAAAAAATACGCCAGAAAATTTGATGGTGATAGGAAAATCTCTCTCTTGATAAGTTAAACCCGGAAAATATAACTCTTTTTTCGCTTTCTGTTTATTCGCACAACACACTTTACATTAGTGATTTCACATTGTAATGTGTTAATTAATGTGTAAATTGTATAATAATCGGAATTTCGAAAACCTTTGTGGAAGGGAGAAACGAATTTTAAAATATTTTTTCGAGGTAAATATCTCATAATTTTCTCTCAATATATGAGAAAATATTTTCATATTTTCAACCCATATACTTTAATAATTTTATTAAAATGAATAAATTAAATGGTAAAAATCTTCATAATATATTAAGCATAATTAAACGTTAAATGTAGGATAATTAATCATCACTGTGTCGAGTCGAATTCCGAAGCTAATCATGCTTCTGAAAAGCTTTAATTACAATTAAAAATATATCAGCTATGATTTAATATAATCGAATTTCTTTATTTGATTCGATATTATAAAAATAAATTTTAAATATTCTCGGATTTAATGTCTTTTTCACTAATGAGTAATACATTTTTAATTAATTTTTTGATAAATCTATGAGCATTATTCATTTATCAAAAATTCAAATAAATCAATTTTAAGTCCATTATTAATTTAAAAATTATTATATAATTTAATAAACATGTTCATCTTAATGTATAATCAATAAAACAGATCGACTTAAGTCCTAAATAATTAAAAAAATGCAGTAAAATATGATTAATAACTGCACATTTCACAATATTTATAATAATTTCACGATTGTTTGGATATAAAAATATGCAAAATGTTTACGTTCATGTATGCAGTACCGAATTCCCACTAAACCCGGGTCTCGGGTGCCCCAAAATTGGAAAATACTGTACACTTGCAACCGTATATCATAATTTACAAATAATTCTGTAGATGCAATTAGATGTTATTGCTTTATAATGTAGAATTATGCAGAAGGAGACCCAATCTTCTGTAGGCCGAATTAGTTGCCTTAGAAGGTCTTAATCAGCCACTGCCAATGCATGATAAACTCTGAATTAATCTAACTAAAACGAAATACGTTCCTAAATTTAATTTTAGAACTGATTTTTGTGTATTTAAATGTTAAAAGTTGCATAAAACGATTTTAGTTAACTTTTTTTTAAGAAAAAATACGTTAAAACTTCTTGTAAAACTTAATATAAGATAAAGTTTAAACCAAAAGCCTAATCCTAATAAGATTCTTTTGATATTTTATGATTTAAAGTGAAACTTGCGTAAACAGGAATTGCCAGGTACCGATTTTTTTCGTTTTGACAGGTTTCCGTTTTATTCAACTTTCGTTCTTACTGTAAAAATGTATACTTTAATTTTCAGATATATAATTTTTATAAATCGTTTTAAATTTGGGGAAAAAAAATATAGCTACATTCTGCTTTTTATATTTCTCCAGTCATGTGATTAATTTGAAACTTGAAATTGAAATTGTTTGGTAAGCATCAAAAATTTGTGTATTGTTTCTATTTGCTAGAAATCAACTTCTGCTATAGAAAAATATTGAAAACATGATTCAAAAAATAGAAAAGTTAGTTTAGTATCCTAGAGATGTGAATATCTTATTATTCAAAGAATTTAGTTTCACTTGGATTGTCCATAAATTACGTAACTCTATTTTTATTCTTTTCGACCCGCCTCCCACTCCCCAATACCATTTTGTAACGCTATCGTACAACCCACTCTCAAAATTACGTAAAGCATATCCTCGATCAATTCCCCTTAAATGTAGTATGGAATAAAACACAGCACGACACATCGAATTTGTTACATTATTTTATTCATTATATGTATCTCGTACAAAGCACTGGCACGAAAATACGCTACGTAACACTTCAGAAAGAAAAATGAGTTATTCTGTTACCCAAGGGTTGAGAACCTAGCATTACGTGATATTTTTGTAAACAGTTCCATCTCCTTGTAACACACATAACTATTACCTTGCATACACAACCACCCATATATGCGTTATGTAATTTATGAATAGCTCTTATTAAGAAGAAATTACACTGAAAAAATTAGGATTTAATCAAACCTAATTTAACACTAGAGTAGTCGTCAAATAATCAATAGTAATGTCATAACAACTAGACTATCAATAATATTCTCGCAATCTCTCGCTATTATTAATCAAAGAATGAAGAAACACATGTAATTAATTATTAGTGTTTTAATTAAGAAAATTATAGTATTGTAATTTATTATATTAAATAAATTTTTTAACGTAAAAAAGAAAAAAATACTTTTTTATAAAATATGTTTTATTAAAATATATAGTTTTTAATCTCAAAATATACGTTTCATTTGTACAAAATTATATATTATATACATTAATACTTTTCACATAAACTGTATAAATTCTTGTACGTAAATTCTTTTTATTTTTGTATTTTAAACCGTCACCGGAATTGTAAGAAGTATCGAGAGACAAGAGCATTGATCTCGTACTCTTCTTCACATAAATCGAATGTAAAGTAAGAAGAGAAATTTTACGATTTCGTTCTGGCAGCTCTATAACAATGATACTTTCCATTTCTCAGAATAACATTGAGATCAATCTTACACAAAAACCATAAAATTTTACACGGTTACCGTTCTATTTCGTGTTTACAAACACAGCATAGAATTAATGAACTTTCCTTGTTATAACATCAAATTTTACTTTATTTTTTAATACTCTATGCAGCATATATAATACAATAGCTTTCAGAAAATAGAAAGAAGATTAATCTTTCGAAAATAAGAAAAAAGCGTAAGAAACTGTTTAATTTTTATAAATATGTATATCTGTATGTATATGTATGTACTTGTATTTACATGTGCGTGCGTATGTGCGTGTATTTTCATTAATAATCTGTAAATATTCTTTATAAGATTAGGCTAACATTCTTTTAAAGAAAAAGAAAATATTTTCTATTTTTATTGACATTTTTATATTAAAGTGTATAAAATATACTCCAATAGATGTAGATCTAACCTTTCGATATATTTGTTTATATAAATCGATATATAAACTATGGAATTTTATTTCTAAAAATATTAAATATCAATATAATACAGAAGACCTGAGAAAATATGCGAATAAGTTTCAATTCACTCTTTCTTATTCGTGTGAAATTTATATAGAGTATACCGGATATATAGTAGAGCATAGCGGAGCAATCAGAAACTTCAAATAGGGGGCAAAATTTTTTGTCAGGTTTTTATTATAAAATTTATAATAAAAATAATTACTTTTTAATAATGCTATTGTATATGATGGCTATATGAAAGATAATCAGATTAATTTTTAGAAATCGAATCATTGTATTGTTAAAAATTAGTTTATCTAGCTGTAAATTTTAAGCTGAAATATTAGGTTTGTTGTAACAATAGAAGAAATTAAATATAGTCAAACCTCTTAACAACGAACACTGGCGGAAACATAACTGGCCGCTGTTCGGAGGTGGCCGTTGTTTAAAAATTATTTCGTAAGCATGTTTGTTAAAAGGTAAGTTGCTAAAACGTAGCTGCTGTTTAGAGATGGTCTCTATTCGAATTCTCTATAAATGTGTCTATAACGAAAGGATATTTTTTAGCGAACAAAATAAATTTCAACTGCAATACTAGTCTGTTTCTTAAGCTATTTAAAAACCGGTATACTACTATGCAACATGATTCGTAACTTATTTTAATTAGCAATTTATTAATATAAATTCAGATTCATCTACTATAATTAGTTTTAAAATTACTGTAATGTTTTTTTTATTAATATGACGATAATATATCATAGATTTATATTTGTGAGATCATGTAAAACAATTAATTACTTTTCATGACGTCTATTGGTCCAAAAGATCAATAGTAACTTGCTAGCGTAGCAAACACCTCTTTTCTTCGACTAATTACATATTCTTAATTAATCACATAATTTGATGCTTCAGGCTTAAGAACAGCCTATATACTACAAAAATAATTAAAGTATTTGTATATATTAATTATTAGTCAAATAATGAAAATAAATTCTAATTTTATGCTATCGAGATCAAAAGTATTACACACAATTATACGTTTTAACGATGTCGAAAATTCATTTGAACTTATTGTAAATTATCGCAACTAAATTGTAACTTTATAATTTATTTGCGATAATTTGATTAATACTGAAATATTATTTAATTATCTCTATTATCGTCAGATCGTCTTCTTAGTGACGATAATTCAGGTATTTCTCCCAGTTCTGCCGATCCACCATTCCTCGAAAAAGATCGTAAACCTTGATGAAAAAGATTCCAGCCTTTAAGTCTACTTAATTGAATATAAGGAAGCACGGAGAATATCCAAAGATATAGAATTGACACCTGAAAAAGATTATATTTAATTATTGATTAGTTTTTACCTGTTACTCTATTACTGAATAATGCATAGACAGATTCTAGTTTCGAAGGTGACTGACTAGAGGAAAAAACAATTTTGAATTACGCGACTAACGAAACAAATGCTATTGTTACTATGTGCAGTTACGTGCTGTTAGATTGTAGAGTTCATATACATTTACTTTTGCCTAATTTACTATTAAAATTTCTTTTTGGGATGGATAATTTCAGGAAACTAGTTGAGAGAAAAAGAGCAATTTTTTGAATGGATGATGTACGGGGATCCAATTTCTCGTAATATAATTTATCTATTTAAGTCTATGGCGATTTACTGTCGCGCAACAGAAAATCGTGTTTGTGTTCCTAGACTAAGTAAGTCAAAACTTCAAAGAGTGTTCAGTAACATAATCTCTGGGTTTGCTCTTTGAAGGATTCCGGGTGGCTGGCCTCTTTACCTTAGTAAATAAATACCGTTTTTAAAATAAACTTAGAAAAAACTTTGAATATGACAAACGCACTTACACACATGTACTGTACAGTACATACAATATCCAATTTACTCTTCATCTATAGAAATACAGGGCGAATTGGTGAATTGTTCTAATTCGGGTTCCCTAAAACTGGTTCTAGTTAGGCTACTAAACGTATTATTAAAAAATAAGCGATGTAATTTTACAGTAAGACGATAATTTTGAGATTAATGTTGTCATTTTTAACAAACTCTTGATATTAAATCGACAGTTTTATAAAATTTGTGGAGTAATAATTTCGAAAATATAATTTCAGATCGGTCACCTCTAGATTAACTAGCTATAGATAATTTTTACTAGCTTAATTCTAAATAAAAACATAATATGAGTAAAAACTTTTAAAAAATTGTATTTAATATTATAAGTATTATTATTTATGTTTAATTCGTATTCGAAGTCGATAATTATATATCACTTTATGTAAATAAGAGTTCAGAATGTAGGATCAAAATTTTGTTGACTGCACTTATTAAAGTGCAGTCAACAAAATTTACTACTGTAAAATAATATCATTAGTTTATAACCCAAAATATTTAATTATTAACACATGCCACATAATCTTTGTACAATATTTATAGAAGTATTTACAGTAGATTGAAGGAAAATTGAATAATTCTGTGTAAATGTAAATGACGAATTAATATTGGAAGCACTTTCTTCTTGATTACTTCTTTTTGTAGTTTCGGGCTGTATTTTGGTCTATTCATCCAAAATTATGCGTTTAAATCCACGTTTAGAGATGTAACGCTGCTAATTCTTGTTGCTGTTGTTTATTGTGTAAACAACAGCAACAAGAATATTATATCTATATGGTCTATATGGAAATTTTTTATTTTATTATAACTTGGAAGAATCTATTTTATGCTCATTAAAGCATTGATCTATTTAAATAAACACACAATAAAATTGCAAATATGAACATGATAGAAACTATATTGTTCATATATAAAAACTTTAAAATAATTTTAATAAAAGAAAGAAGTCACTTATGAATCATTTAACGTTATTTAACGCTAACTATTGAAATTTTTGATTTTATTAGATTTTTAAATTTTATATATTTTCAGATTTACTTGATCATCACGTTAGAATTATCAAGTATTTCTGAATAATACAAAAAGTACATTATTTTTTTCAACACTTCTAGAATTTTCTAACTCATTTATTGTTTTTCCTTATCGTGAAGCACTGGTCATTGTTTAAATATAGGATAAGTCTTTTAAACATCCCCAATCTGTTTGATTGCTGATATTATACAAGTTTCAGTTCATAAATATATATGTGCATATAAATATACATATATTGTCTAAGAATTGGTCTTTTTTTTAAATAGTTTGTTATAAAGCTAAAAGTATTCGTCGGTCCTTGAAGAACATAATGTTCTGCAGCTTATTCTCGTATTGACTAAAACGTGTAATTAGCCACTGCATCATACTGTATAATTTAGGCTTTTTTTTGTTAAAAAAGTTATATAAAATTACCTGTATCCAGTATGCCCAGTTATGAACGTACCATACTTTAACTTCTATAACAAAAAACAGGTTGTAGGCAGTGGTTAAGTGATTGACCAACTCCGCCATGTTTCCAATTACGTATAATAATGGCGCCGTAGCTGCTACGGTTCCTGAAAAAAAAATAATAAATAAATAAATAATAAAAATTGAACTACCATTTATCGTTGACCTCGGTGCTTCTCCACCCAATCGTAAAATCAGGCCAAGTTCAAAGTAAATTCTCTACTCCCTATTCCTCGCTCGTCCCTGACACGTTGACGTCATCGACCCGGAAACATTTGATTTCGTGGAAATATTCAAATTGTCTCAAATCGCCTCTTCAAACTTGTTATTATTCGACCTCTGGTCAATGTTAAACAAGCCGGCGCCATCATCTTTTCGAGAATTAGCCAGTTGCGTCACTGTTCATGAAATGTAATTCGTATTCTCACCCTCTTAAACGTTGACATCATCTGTTAAGTATATCCGGTATGAAGTAATCTTGAATTTTTGTCAGTTATCCGATTTCGGATTGTAGGACACGTTAGTTGGCCAAACGGATCGAGGAAAACCAATACAAGGAGGATTTTATTGTTTTTTTCGATAATCTAGACTAGAAACAGGACGTCTTTTCTTACACCTTTACAAATAGAAGAAAATACCTATACCGGCATAATATCGGATTTCTTGTTTAAATTCTCCAATAACCATTAATCTTATTCTAATGTCAAATCTTATACTAAATAAAAAAAAATTAATATATGAATTAAAGCAAAGGGATGAAAAATACCAGAATTGCAAAAAGGGGGACTTGTTTAGAAGACAGTAAAAATGATTAAGTGAGAAAATAATAATAGCTTAGGAAACTTTAGAATGCTTTCAGTTATGATAAAATTATGTATAATTATAATAAAATTTAAAGTTATTTCGTAATAATGTAGTTTTGAAATGACTGCAGTTTATAAAATACCTTTTAATTACGAAGACCGACTTAAAAATTATAATATATTATCATTATCGTGTCACCATATGTTTTCAATCTGATGTAATTAAGATAAATGCTTAAAAATAAAACATTTAATTTTCACATTCTTATAATAATATATGATTACTGTATAAGCTTATATGTGCAAGTAGTATACACTACACTTCCTTAGATTTTTTCCTACTAATATTAAATGTCTGTAAAATAATATTAAAAGTAAATGAATAATACTTTTATGTAAGGTTTATATAGCCTATAAAATAATACAATTGTTTTTAAGGTTTAGTTTAGCTACTACTACTTCTGTTCTTCCATAAGTTATAATGTATTTTTTTCCAATGATATAATAAGTTATAACGCTTGACTATAAACTATGTTAATATATTTTAGTACTTATAGTATCATTTCTTTCGATGAATACGTTGTAAGTGATAAAATTACGCACAATTCGTTTAAACACAAATTTTAGATGCATTGAGGTATTTTTTTTTATATTAAAATAAAACTAACACCGAAAGTATTAATTTATTCATGAATAAAAGCAGAAATTTGGTATAATAATTAGAAGAGAAATGAAAATTGAACAAGTCTTATTAATCACTTTTTGTAAATTATAAAAGGACATTCCACCCTCAGAAAGAGTGTGTTAATTGCATCGATCAATTATTATTTAATTTTTGCATAAATTACCTTGCAATGTGAAGAGTGGAGAACGAAGATGACGTAAGACAGATGCAGCATTTTTGCGGGATGCGGTTGCTATGACTACCGTCAGAAGGAACAGATTGAGAGTGGACTGCAAAACGCAGACGGCGGATGTGGCGATCTTGCAGAATTTTCCGACTGAAATTAGAAGATGAGTTTTTTGTTTGTCTGTAGGGAGATTTTTCTTACAGAAGCGAGTACTTACATTCATAAGTAGCGTTGGCGAAATTATAAAAGCATTCTTCTTTGGTTTCTCTCCCTCTGCGGATTTTCACGCATCTCGACCACAGTCCAGCGTGTCCACGAGATTCGACTGAAAAGAGAAATATGACAACATGAGCACCTTTCTTCCAAACTTATAGATTTAAATAAGAAAAAAGCGTAAATAAAACAAACAATTCTCTATTGATTGAGATAGAAAAATTGACCAAAAATTGTATAAATGCTTTCACTTTCGTAATTTATCATGCTCATTCTTAAATGCGTATGTAGGTCGCCGATTTGATTTCTTAGGTATTACTGTGTTTACCTGCTACACTCTTTTGAACATTGTCACGTGATTTCAAAAGTATGTTCACATTTTTCGAGGTTATAACGGGAACATTCGACAATTATTCTCAATTTTCGTAGGCTATAAAAACCGGCTCGTACATAAAAACTTTCGGAACTGTTTCATACGTTTTAATTTCGCTAAATTCAATTCGATTAACGTGTCTTAAGTATTAATTTTTTTAACTCGTTATCTCGGAAAAGTCAAATTAGAGTTTTCTAAAGAGTAGAAACTATACAGACTCTTGACCATCCATAATTTTTCACTTTTAATTTCACCTATAGGAAGTGTTCTATCCATTCGACTTTTACAAAGGTAAGATATTTCACATGACGGTAAAAAAAAATTATAGAGAAGGAGCGATGAGTCGGGTGGAGCGTCTGATGGACGCCAAAGAATCGATATTATCTCGGCACTGCGCGTAACCCTCGGAATATTTGGCGCCAGACCTGGCATAATTCGCGGCCGGAGGCCTTGAGATGCCCACAAGTCTCCCATATACGGGACAAAAGACCTGTTTACCTGTCGCCGGCCAGGAATCGCCAGTCGCAAATACCTGTCATTCTTTACGTGACCCGTTTGCCTTAAACGTCCTCCAACGAGCAGACTCGAATCGAACGATTATTCTTTCCTTAGTTCCATTGTTTCGTGTTGGATAGGAAAATCGAGTGGATCCATCAGCCGGCGATCGAGACTTCATCGTTACAAGTCGCTCGCGAATAATTGTAATCAATTTTAAGTTAAATAGATGGCGTGACCTTTATGCGAGTAAAACGTGACTCCCGTCAACGCGTCACCATCCACAGTAGTAGCGCAAGTAGTAGTATCATAGAAATAGTTTTGTATTAGTAAGGATAGGTAATTGAGGTGCGTACTACATTTAATACGGATGTTTTAAAGTGCTTTCTGAAAATTACCGAGTAAAAGGTTTTAAGAAACATTAATAAAGTCTTATTTCACTTAATATAAGCCTAATATCGCGAACAAAAACAATAATAATAATTATTATTTCCTAAATAATATAGTTAAAAATTGAGATAAAAAAGCAATTTTATATACTATAAAACACTATATAAAACACTATAAGCAGAACTTACTATATTAAAAGTACTGTACATAGTAATTCTACTATTAAACAATGTTTATGATAAAGTATTTTTATAAAAGCCTGCTAAATTTTCTGTACTTGTCCACGAGTAAATTTATAGTTTTTTTTTTTTTAATTTATTAATATAGATTCGTTTGGATTCTCATAAATGACATCTACAGAAGTACCGAATATAAATTCAATATTAAAAATTTATTGTTGTTGATGTTTTTGATAACGAAAAAATTTGTAAAATCGATTTTCCGTATATTTTTAACGAAATTTATTAAATGCCTAAACATTATTCGTGTATTTGATAAAAAGTGTTTAGAGTAAATTATAAGTATCTTAAGTTTAACAATTTCCGTCTTCTGGCTAAAGTAAGTTATTATTTATATAATAAAGAAAGAAAATATGAGCTTAAAGTTATTCCCAAAATATATTATCTAAAATTAATTAATAAAAAAATAAAAATAAGAAAGAATCTAACGTTGACAATGCATTATTTCCCAAAAATTTTGATACTTAACTGATGGTTTGAGAAAGTTTTCAAACTGGTTATAATAGTTAACGCGTTCTTATTCTAAAGTTTGTTTGCGTTACGTAACGAAACATTCTGAAAATAAACAAAACAAATTTACTTTTGTTTATGCTTAACTATCATTTAACGAATAAGTTTCGCGTTTCTAATAGAAAGAGTCGGGTATTATCGAAATTTAAAACGGCATCGTCATAAAAGTAGAATCATCTACGTAAAATTCAATCTATCAAATTGGGATATTCCAATGAGGAACCGATCACGTGATTGGAAGATATTCTCTCACCTTCCTGGCTGCGACCGAAGTGATCGACGTTGGTCATGTTATAGCGGAAGTGCCAAGAGGTCCAGTAAGTACCAGCCAAAGAAGCGAGTTGAGCCACCAACATGACCAGTTGGCAAGAAACGAAGAGGAAAAACAGCAACTTTGTCCTGATGGTCATGTTTGCCGTGTAAAAAGCGGCACGTGCGACGATTATCGCCCGCACTCATTTAAACTACGTCATCGAGCAGCCTTCCAATAAAAACGTGAGTTATACGCGGGGTGCGAGGAAGGGAAAATACACTCCTCGCCGTCTGGTGACCTGCCTTCTCTCCAAAGACGTTGTATTGTAGATATCTTTACACCTGGCTTCACGTAATTCGAATAATGCTACATCTTATGCACGATTTGTGTATAAATACGTGCCTAAGTCTTACATTTCACGCACTCCTACAATAGAAACATAATAACATCATTATAAACGAACTATTTCCCTTATTTTCGATCCGAATTTTCTAATAAAAATAAAACTTTCCATTTAATATAAGTATGATACAGTATAGTTGATTTTATTGTTTCGTTGGCTACAACGACAACAAATCTATTTACTCGATATTAAATTCTATATTTTAAACTAAATGTTAATCGTCATATGCCCGTATTCGGATCAAGAGTTACCTAATTACCGTTCATTTTACTTTTAATACGTAGAGTCTTATTGATTAACTTCTAACTCTAACGCTTGATCCCTGATTGTGAATACGGGCAAAAGCGAATGTTTATGAGAAAAAAGTACAAATTGGATTTAAAAAAAACTATGTTTATTATAGTTACGAAATTATTCGATAGATGGAAACACTAACAATTATTAGTGACTCGCATTAAACTCGGGTTTGGGTCGATATTTCGTTAAACGACGCGAAAATAAGTTCTCCGAGTTAATTTAGAAGGAACGAAAAGGCAAAGATGATGGCTAAACTATAAGCCTGCAGCGAGGTTTCCGGGTTCCCATCGTCATTTTAATTGTCAGAAATCACAAATAGATGATGACACGTCGAAAGGACATTTAATTTTCTACCATAATCTAAATCTAGATATCGGGAAGATTCGATAACCAGTTCTAGGTTAGATTATAATTGATTGCTAGAGTAATCGTTTACGGATTAACAGATAAGTTTAACAAATCAAGCAATTTATAACACAATTGAAAGCAAAATCTAGTTGAAATTAGATATTGAAATATGTGGCAAATTCGGACACGATTCTAGATAATAGAATAGATGAATGTCGTCAAGTGGATAATCGTATGTAGACGTTAGCAATTTCAATGAGAGAGAAACAATGAGGAACTCTTTCATCTTTCGTAAATTTAATTTTATCTCCCATGACGTAACTGATAAATACCTACTGATCATAAACTATTTGAAAAAAGAGGGATATTTGCTATAAATATTACTAGTGAGGAGAGATAAGTTATAATTAGAAACACGGATAATTTATTCATGTTTCTAATTTCGTGTTTCTAATGCTGTCGGATCAGAAGATTAAGAGCAGAAACAGAACGACCAAGTAGAATAAAATCAAGATAAAATCCTCATAATTTGAATTAAAAATAAAAATAAATTATCGTACAGTTGGCATTGCAAGCGTTGTTATTACATTCAAATCGGTTGCATACTCGTAATTCTAAGATAATGCTTTACTTTTCTCCGCTTTTTACTATTTCATCAAATAGTTGAGGTAAAGAGGCTGAGGATAACGCCATTAATCTAATCGATGCTATCCTCAGTCTAATTGTCTGATCTAGCTGATGGAAAATGTATTCTATGAGAATTTGCCCTTGTTCTCAATTCTACTTAATCGACTACAATTTTGGTGAAGATCCCAACATGGCAAATAATTTCATTTATCGATAATACTGGCGAATGATTTTTAGACGCATAATAATGACAATTACTTATTTAATCTTCCAAATTTAGCAATATTCTGTCGATATTTCATTGGGAAAAATCATTTATTAAACGACAATGTTTATTTATGACGACGTTCATTTTTAAAAGTGCATAAAGATTTTTCGAACAGATTTCCTTGGATTTTGTGTGCTTTGGTCTACTAAATCCTATAATTTAACAAAGAAACAACATGTAGATTTAGAAGACAATGAATATCTAATAATTTTGGGATACTTGGAATAGTTTGATTAAAATAAAAAACAAAATTTTCGTTATCAATTTTTATGATTTCTTTATATTTATAGCTGTTTACTGTAACTTGGCTGGAATAAATTCGAAGGATTAAATACTCACTTTAAAGAGTTAAATGATAGGTTTCTGAAGACAAAGTCTGCCCAAAACGGGACCACCTATACACTTTACAGGAACACGAGATAAATAAATAGTCGTCCCGTTTTGGGCAGACTTTGTCTTCAGAAACCTAATAATATAATTGCCATTCGGACGAAAATTTATAAAAGAGATAAATAATATCATACCGACCGATTATTGAAATTATTGAAGTAAATTAGATGCTTCTTCCATAATTTGTAAATTTTGAAAAACTCGCGCCATTCCAACGAATAAAAAGCTGTGGAAAGGTATAAGTAAATCGATGAACAGAAATTTACCTTTGTCTGTCTGGTTTCGCATACCAGGATTGAGTACGTAGGCCAAGTGTGTTTAATCACGTGACTTCTATCAGAATTGTCCATCGTGTGGAATGAAGAAGCAGAAAATTCAATCTCCCGAACAATTTGTTAGAAGCTTCACGTTCTTCCACCGTGAGAACGTCACCTCCTGTCCGAACTATCAAACGAAAATGGAAAATTTTCGTGTTTTTTTCCGTTTAGCGCCTCCCCCTTACGACACGCGGCAATTTTTATATCGTGACGTACCCACGATGAGGTGATTCACGTGATTTTTCGAATACAAAAAGATAAAGTTAAATTTGATCATTTTTTCTTTTTTATTTCATTTGAATGTCAATATGGCTATTGACTGAGCATGGTGGGTAGCCACATCTTGATCTGACATTTTCTTTTACTGCTTAGTAATATGAAAAAAATTTAAATCATGTGACTTCTGTTTAGATCGAAAGTAAATTTATTTTGAACGAATAGATGGACAGCATTATTGTAAAATAGACAATTTTAAATGGTCATTACATTATTTCTGAGATAAAAAAAATAATTTCCTTTATAAATTGTTGCTTGTTTGATTCGTGGCGAATAAAATTCAAGTTTAGTAACGCAATTCGAAAAAGTCACATTATCTATATTTTAAACTGAATGCAGTATCCGAATTATCTGAAACATCGTACAGAACTGATTGTTATCGAGTTTAGACGTAAACATGTATCAATAATCCGGTCCGTTTCGAAAGTGACAGATATCGATTTATCAGGTAACAACTCAAGAAAAGTAATTACTTGACCAAGTGTCGAAACGGTTACTTTCAGAAGCTTGGTATCCTCCGAGAAATAAAAGAGTTGGGATTAGAAAAAAGACCAAACTCTGCAATAATTGTATCTGATACAGTTTACTGATCCCCGTCGAGATCCGAAGAACAAATTACAGTAATGAGCGATACTTTTTCCATTCGGAAATGAATCTAATCGCGTGATTTCTTTATTTAAATAAAAAGAAATGTCGATGTGGTAGAGGAAAACGTAAAATAAGTGTTTTATTATGGCGAAACGATAAAAAAAATCAGCAAAGAGGCGGAGAAGCAGCAGGTAGACGGAGGATGGACGAAGTGAGCATGCTCGCGATTTTCGGTGGAAACCGAACACGTGAAAATCGGCTGCACATTCGTCCGCTCCACTCGCTCGAGCTGACCATGTCGGCCGATGACGCACCCCGGTGAGTGACTTTTTTTTTAATATTTACTTTCCTCCGACTAGGTGAGCGCTCAGATGTCGATTCGCTATTTTAAATTCGAGTGACTCAGTCACATGACGAGATTTAATTAAATTACTCGAATTGGATCTCGTGATCACAACATTCGTGTGGTTCTTTAATGCAATTACTTATCAGAAGATTACGGATACGCCAGGTAAAATTCCGTTTCTCTTAGTTTAGCGAATCGAATGATGCTTCACGTGATGCAGTTGAAGGATGTTCTTCGAATTTAATTTAGTATTCCTGTTTAATCGGCGATCAATGATAAATATATTATTTTAGGATTCATCCTTCCTAACAAGCTTAAACCTATCGAAAAAGATTGGAAAGGTGTTAGAGTAATTTTTAAGTTTAAAAACTATAAAAGAGAAAATATAAAACGAGAATATACCTAAAGAATAATATTGAGTCGTGTTATGTAATCTAGTATCTTAAATTCATGATAATAATTCTAGATAAATAATAATTTTCGAGTTAAAATAATAACTAATTATGAAAACCCTAATTAATTTGATAATATTAATATTCATTAACTATACAACATGGGTAGACTCTTTAGCCATTTATTATAAAATAAATATTATTTTAACTTGTTGTTATTGAATTATTTGCAGTTTTAACACATTTTAATTTAACAATATTTTCTCATACTTTCATAAAAGTCAAAATGTAGCTAAAATTCTCAGAAAAATGCGGGTAAGATTATTATTTCAAATATGATTTATGCCAGAAAGTTTGTCAAGGTGTCTGGCGGCGATTGTTCGATTGGTGGCGAAGAAAGTGCCGAAATAATTCGGATTCCATTAGGTGTAGTCCTTCCTTATGAGCTATTCATTTATATTAAACAGGACAAGCGGCGATTCTGATAGTTAAATATCCGTTCATAAGGAGCTCTTCTCCTCTATTCATTCAGTATCGATCTGTGCAATATCGTCTCATTAAAGACCACCTAACTACACACCACCCTATTAAGACGACACCTTAATAACCTACAATTCTTTCATTAATAAACATCGGCAAATTCATTTAAAGAATTTCCAAAGCCTCATATAGTCGTTGAGATTATCATGATGGAAGGCGATGGAAAATATTACATATAATTTTCCTATAACTTTTTAATTAAATGAACATCGCTCAATTATAATCCTTTGTTAATTTAATTTAAAATTCAAACTACAACGGGACTTTCATCATTTAAAGTATAAACACGTTGTCGAGTAGGCATTGATAGATATCGGCCCAAAAATATTGGAAATGTTTCTAAAACGCGTCGATCTGTGAAATATAAAGATATTACTCTTTGATAAGGTGTTGACAGAAATATTGATGTTATAGGCTTCGATGTTATTGTTTGATAAGTGTTTTATGTTGTAAATATATTTTTCGGAGTATTAATTAATTGATAGTATTACACGCTAGCCTATAGCATGTCAATCTTTAATAATTTCCTAGATATCAGATTATAAAATATTCAATAGAGTTTGTCTATTTTAACAGCGCATTTAACAGCGCACATAACTATTAATTAATCAGTAAATTTCATTAATCAAGACTAATCGCGTTTAATGTAACTTATATAAGTAAATCATGAGATTTATATAAATTACTAAACACAAATGTAAATTTTATTGAGTAAATTTAATCGGAATATCGAGAAAAGATAATTTCGCAGGAAGAATTTTTTAATAATTATATGTAATAAACTTCATTATTAAAGGAATTCATTTATAAATATTTAAATGATTCCTATCTGAGGTATCCATGAATGAGAATTTATATATGAATATTAGTTGTTCCTGGAAATTTATTCATTACTTTAAAATTTGCTTGAGCACGCAAAAATTACATAAAATTAAAAGTAATTTTACTATTTATCATTTAAAAATAATTAATTTTTATTATTTATATGCTTTTTTACCGGTTTTATGCAAACGGAACATCACTTGTTTCGTGATAGTAATCTCTTACACACGATAAAACTTGTAGCACAATAAATATTTTAAAACACTTTTTTTTTTTTAAAAAAAAATAGTAAATATCGTAATTTTCTGAATATAAGACGTTTCTGTAACGAGTAATTCTTAAAACATATTTACGCATCTTTTAAAAATCGAATATAGAAAATTTCGAATCTATAATGAAATATTTTTTTCGTATCCCTCGCCACTTCAGACAAAATGGCGAAAGAACATAAATTTATTTTTTCCTAGGTGTTCCTTATACGTAGAAACAACGTCAATAATAGTTATTCCGAATGAATTGTTCGAAAATATAAAATGTAACAATAAAATTGAAAATATTTGTAAATAATAGGGCTTCAGATATATTTATGTTTTAAATAAAATTAAGAATACGACGAAATTTTTAACATATTCACTTTGTTTATATTTAAAACATAACACAGTAAAAAATTAATAATTTTTAAAATTATTAATTTAGTTTTGTAAATATAACTAATTAAAAAGATTAAATCCTATCGAAGCGAGCATAGTTTATTTTAAAGATTTCTTACGTTATCATGTATTATGTTAATAAGAAGGAATTTACCGTAATCTGAAATTGTCTTAATTACACACGCTTACTTTATAAATTATAAACGACGAAGAAACAGCACCTGTTCCTTTCAGGTTTCCACCCATATCCTTTTATAGTGAATAAAGTATCGCCACTAGTAAACAAGTTCAATTAAAAGGTAAAAGAAATCAAAGAAAATAACACATTTTATTATCGTTTTCTTAACTAACATCGCGGGGAAAAAATAGGAAATGTTTATATTTCTTAATGGCTAATGTCATTTTGGTTGTCTGAAGTAAAGCTAAAATCAATTGTTTTCGAATTTTCAAGCAGAAATTTAAAGTTATTTAGATTTTTTAAAATATATTATAAAAGCTTAATGTTTAAAATGTTGAATAAAGGATTTTTACAATTATTCCATTAAAGTTTTAAAATAGTCAAAAAATTTAATGAAATTTTCGAAATAAATTGAGACATATTCTTTACGTTTTATGGGTTTTTTTATTAATTGTAAAATTTTTGTTGAAATCCTTTATATATTTTTAAATTATTTAAAATGTAATAATTTCAGTTTTTTGCAGAGTTTGAATATTTTTCTAAAACTATAGTCTATTTATAATAGTTTAAAATAAAATAACGTATTTAAATAATCCTAACGTTAATGATAATAAATAATGTAATAATCTACATTTAAATTGCTTTCTAATCGCGACAAAAATAGTTATTGATTACTCTTTAAATTTAAAATAGAATACTACTAACATTTTTCTCTTAATTAATTTAATTGATTGCGTTAGTCCCTCTCTCTGCTTATTGACACAGATGTTATAAGATGAAACCAGTCTCTCACTTGTCTAGTTCAACAGATCTTTCTATGCTCTAACACACCTGGGTCTCTTGTTTATCATCTGAACTACAACTTTTAATTTTATTTTCCTATTGAATGAACCATCATTATCATCTTATTGTAAGTTTCTTTTAATTTTTACCAAATGTAATAAAACCTTCAACGTAATTCGTGTAACAAATATGCCCCTATAATCTCAACAAACAATAATTTTAAGAAATACTCACGTAAATCTGTAAGCCATTTGTCGAGAATCACTTCATCACCTAGAAAGAAACCTTATATTAGATAAAACATTTCAATCAAATTTTATTATTTAAAGATAAGAATATTTTAAGACTTTACATATAATTTAATAAAATGCATTTTGTATGGATGTAAATATTACTCTACACATAAAAATCCGTTAAGCTTATATCTATGAGAATATAACAAATAGAATAGTCATTTTAGTTCCTGTAATGCGTGCTTTCCATCCTAACTCAGTCAGATTGAGGTGAAGCCGAACAAACGCTTTCAACGTGTTATTTATTTCTTCAAGTTCATCGCATATACAAAAGTAAACCTATATAAATTAATCATTGACCTAAAAATGTTTAATCTATGGCCTTTACGACCTCGTGAACAAATTCATTACGTATCGTTACCAAATAAATGAACCTGATCAGACACAATGAAAGAGCAGTGATCTGCGTGGTCATGTCTGTCCAAGCATTCTAAAACTTTTTCTTGAGCCCTCAACTAGAATTCTTCTCTCTTAACGATGACACCCAACTAAACGCCGTTGCTATGGCAACGTATCAACAAAGTCGGAGATCGAACAAAGATGCGTTTCTGGCTAGCGATAGTTGTCTAAATGTTTTGTTTTCTCATAAATTTATCTTTCTTTAATTATTACAAATGCAAATTTTTTTTAAAAAAACTTTGCATTATAAATTATAAAAACTGTTAAGAATATCTGCATTATTTTCTTATACAGTATTAATCTTATTTAAATGCACATAAATTTCTGCATTGTAGAAAATAACAATGTAGTTATTATTTTATTTCTTTCTAAAGTTTTATTACGAAAAGTGTAAAGCGTGATTATAAATCTGAAAAATTATTATTGCAAATGTGCAAGAGCAAATTCTCATCCAAACTCTATACTTTGTAAGTAAAACTATTTCCTCGCAACAGTGATAAAGAGTGCAATTTCCTCATTAAAATATCAAAATTTTGTAACTAAAAAACAGTGTTAAAATTACGGTTATTTTCTATAAATAAACCCTTATCATTATAATTTTTAAGCCATTTTAGTTTTGTCAGAAAATCATTGTTGAAGAGCGGTTTAGCATGAAAAGCGAAATCTCTAGAGAAGAAAAAACAAGCATGAAAAGCTGTAAGGGACTTAAATTCGATCAAAATTAACATTTAAGGATTGATTCACGGTGATGATTATACACAATAAGAGATCAGTAAAAAAAAAAACTGTAGGAAAGTTGAAATTTTTATCTAAGTTAATTAATCAGCAGGATATCCTATTTTCGATTCTTCACTTGCTTTCATGTGGGTAAACTATCATTAATTAATATTATTAAATGATTAATATCCGCAACCGCATGGATTTTTAATTGAATTTAAAAAACTAAATTGTATTTAAAAAATGGATTTTAAATAGATAAATGTGTATTTTTGAGAAAATTTAATTTTTAACCTTCCCATCTTAAATATTCTGCTCGAATTCTTCTTATCGCTCAAGAGGAAATCGAAGAAATACAGCTCCAGGATTTTTAACAGTACTCTCTAAAGCAGACAATATTCCTTCTCAAATTTTATCCTTACCTAATACACACCTTATCCTTTATACACTTTGTAATTTTCTAGCAGCTGTTTATTTTCTCTATTTTTTTTAGCAAAACATTATATATTGATCGATATAAATTCATTTTTATCAGAAGAACTGAATAAATTTCCATTAACTATTCAACGATTTACTTTTTTATGAATTATTTAAAAAATTTTTTTAAACATAACAATAATTTTAAAAAATGTACAATTTACGATTTCCATCTAATTAAAGGAACTTTTAATTATTTAGAATCACATTTTATATACTTTCCTATCTTTTTCCCCTACAAATAAGAATAAAAAATGGATGAATAACTAGAGAAAAAGTTGGGAAAAACAAGTGATTGGCATAATCTTTTAAAAGTCAGTTCGAGGTTCGTGAGAACTGCAATTTTAAAAATAGAACTTCTTCATTCCATTTATTTTATCTTCCTCTTTACTATCATCATCATTATTATAAAAGAGTATTCTTTGCTTCTGAAAGTGTTCAGATTTCTGCGATAATGAATAGAACTTTTTCAAAAAAAAAAAAAAAAAAACAGAAAGCTCATCTAAAGTAATACAGGATAGAATAGATAAAAAATTACTTCTTACATTAATCCATGCTTTTTCTATATAATTATTGTGTTTATATAAATGGCTCACTCGTCTAAGGAAATGAAGAATGGACATTTAAAGATCGTCTTTTGTTTTGTTCTCCTCCCAATGCTCAACACAAATTACTAGCAGAGATTTATTGATGTGTTATAATCATAGATAATCCAATAATGTTTGCTGAAAAAGGAAAAAAATATATATTAAAAACGATTTATAAAATTTAAACAAAAGAAGATAGCACAAAATTTCTTAATAATTTCGGTCGGCTATCCGGTAATACCTATGAGTATTATAGGAAGATGGATTGACAGGGATCTCTTGTTCTTTATGATTGTGGAAGATTCGTAATGTATGGGATGTCGAGTTAGGAGTGATAAGAATCAATCATCCAAATAAAAGCAGAACAAAGTTTAATTTAGTTAGCCAGAGTAATTTTTTGGATATTTTTTAATCTGAAAATTCAATACTTTAAATAAAAATATACTAGAAATCGACGCTTGTCAGAGATATACTTTAAAACTTTATCAAGAAAAACTTACCTTATTTCTAAAGGTAATAAGTTAGATTAACTTTTTAACTTGTTGGGATATTATACGATATCAACAGGTTTCTTGGCAATGTAGAATTACCTCAACATTCAATTCAACCAATAGATGCCAAGTGATTTTATCTTCAATTATTGCACCATTCAATGACCAACATATGGCGTTGACAGCATTACTTCCTTTCGCATCATCCTATCATCATGTGGTTTCCGTTTCGTGTTAACACATTTAAACATTTAAAAATATAAATTGCATATTTATATTTAAATAATATTTCTATGTTCCGTGGCTTTAATATAATGTTTTCTGTGGATTAGAAATGATTATTTGGTTTAAAATTTTAACAATTATAAATTTTAAGAAACAAATTTATTAATCACTTGGAAAACTGGGATGTTAGATTTACTATTTTATCCATAAAACGCGTATTTGTAAAAATATCGACTCGGCATATTTAAAGAATTATGGAGGCTGACAAGTGGGAAGATAATAGAAAAAAACGTTTGATATGAAAGCAGATCAAGATGTTTTTCTAAAATAAAATACGTGGATTATGTCTCTATCAATATAAATTACGAAAATATTAGACTTATTCTTTAATGAATTATCTTGTATACAATCAATATAATAACATTAATGAATTACATTGATATCGTATATAAGAAAAGAATATTTCTCATTTATTTTCCGTTTCATTCGAAGAAAAATAAATAATCGCAATCGTAATTAATCAAAAAATTCTAAATAATCGTTTGCAATATAAGTAAATGTTTTATTTAATGAAGAAAATATGATAAACTATTTAAACTTTATAATTGTAGTAGGCAAATGATAAGAATTCTTGACAGCATAGACCTATTAATTCCTAATTCAAAAATTAATTATGTAGATATTATGATATATATAGAAATCGTTATTTTCTTATAGTTTAGTTACTAATGACATTGATACTCTTATCGGAAAATTTATATTTTAGTTTTTGTGAAATCCATCCGTTTAACTTTCTCTCTCTTCTACCTATTTTTACAATATATTGTATCATTATAATTGTGAATTTAATCTTAGATCCTAAGCTACAATTTCTTTCGCAAAAATCTGCAATGAAAAAACCATAACATCATTTTAGTGTTAATTATTGACCGAATCTTTAAAAAAATAATAGAGAATTAAACGAAGACGGCAAAAAATTAAATAGAAAAGATTAAAAATATATAATTTCTAATTGACTGTAGTAATGATATTATTTTTATAAGAAATTAATTCTTTCAGTTTGATTATTTTTGGAGATATCTATTATTAATTACATTCTATTTTTTGTTTTTATTAAAGTAAAAATATTCTATTATTTTAAAAATATCTTCTATATTTTGAAAGTATTTAAATTGATAAATGTACAGTACAAAAATCCGTTAAATTAAGATACTATGAAATGTTGTTTCCTTTTGATAGTGAATATGAATATATATATCTGTGACTTGGTGTAATGTGTGACAATATCAAAACGTTGTGTAAATGAGCTATGAATATAACTCACTTTGAAAACTCGTATATTCTTTGCAAGAATGTAATGTTGGCATTGGTACAGATTGATAAACATTTACATTATCATTCCTTGCACTAAGGGAAGAGTTTGATATGACGTGTTGTTTTGTTAAAACACAGTACTGTACAGCTGAACAGCTCAATACATGCATCTACTTATTATTTAAGATAGTCTACTGTGAAGTGTGTTATCTTTCCTATGTGTGTGCATTGTTTAAACTCACAAATACCACCTGTTTCATTTTTCGGAAAAAACTGTTTTTCGATCATTTTTTTAATTTTGTTGAATTTTCTTTGCCTGCAAATAAAACAGTTTCTTCTTGAGTTGCATTAAAAATGGAGTTTTCTAATTAATTCTTCTGTGTATTCCGTTTTATCATACTTGTTCGTTGGGGGTACTTTGAAACTTTTTAAATTACATTTTTTGAAATGAAAAGGAAAATCACAGAGAGGAAATACGTTTAGCTATGATATAGGATCTACACAATTCTGACTTTTTGTCAATTTTCAACTAAGCACCCTGTCTTATTCAACTCTCTCTTATATACATATATCAATAATTACAGCACCAGATTCGATGATTTGTTATATGTTATAGCTTAAAATCACACAAATCTAAGTCGAGCCCTGTATATTCATATATATTCTATAATATAAAGGAGCACAATTATTCTAAAATTATAGCATCATTAATCATTTAAAAATGCGTTATTTGATATAATCAAAACATTTTTCAAGCTTAGTTTTACTTTATTTTTTAAATATATATATTCTTCTTTTTGTAATGTTAATACGTTTGCAATTATAGAAAGAAAGAAGATAAGCAATTACTGATACAAGAATCGTTCGAACAAGATATAGATGAAGAAAAAAAGAAGAATCTGCAGAGATACTGGAGAGAAATAGAACCTAAATTAAACTGTTGTAATCTTTCAAAGCGTCATACAGTAGCAGCATTGACATCAATCGGTTTTGTTATAACCTTTGCCATGCGATACAATCTCAGTGTGGCTATCGTCCAAATGGTGGGAAATTTTACAGTTCAGGTGAATATCCATTTAAAAAACAAACAAAAAAATTTCCTTTACTCAAACTTACCCTATAAATTTTAAGTTTTTACATTAGAAATGCAACCTTAAAAGATTTATGTAAACTTAGTTTGAAAAAGCAGAGGCATTAATCACCTCTTCTGAAATATAATTTCGCGCATGTCGTTGCCTGGGTTACGAGAGTTTTGTAATAAATTTTTTTAAAAATAATATTTTTATATACTATTACAGTTACAGTTATTTTTTTATAATAATTTAAGGGTGTTAAATTTTTAAGATGAATGTTATGATAATTAATTGAAATAAATATTTATTTCGTAAGGGCCCAGAATTTAAATGGTCACCAGGTACAATAGGTATGGTGGATTCGTCTTTTTTTTGGGGTTATCTTATCACTCACGTTCCCGGTGGATTCTTTGCAGCTAGGTTTCCCGCCAATAGGTAAAAATGATTTAGGCATTTCGGTTATAAATGTATAAATATTTATAATAAAATTTGAATATATTTTTAGAATTTTTGGCACAGCAATAGTTATATCATCGTGTCTCAACTTAGCTCTGCCGAATGCGGCTCATATTAACGTTGGGATGGTTGTATTTATCAGGATCCTGCAAGGATTGGTCGAGGTAAATCCCGAATTAGCAACGAACTAGCCTATTTTATCATAAAATTAATTTTACCCGTAGGGAGTTATATATCCGGCATGCCATGGAATATGGAGATATTGGGCGCCGCCTCTTGAGAGGAGTCGCTTAGCAACAATTGCATTTTGTGGTAATAAATTCATGTATGATGTAAGTTCATTTCATTGTTTAATATATAACAACGATGTTTTCACTCTCCTGTGAATTAGGTTCTTACGCCGGTGCAGTTTTAGGAATGCCATTATCTGGCATGCTGATCAACAATCTGGGTTGGGCATCTTCTTTTTATTTTTATGGCAAGTATCCATATAAAAATATATATTGATAATATAACTCTTATTAAGTTTTAATTAGTATTAATTGTTTTACAATGAAATAGGTTTATTAGGTATGCTATGGTATATCGTTTGGCTTGCTGTAGTTTTCGAAAGGCCATCAAAACATCCAACAATCAGTGCAGAAGAACGTATTTATATTGAGCACAGTCTTGGAAATATCGCACAATCTGCTCCTACTGTAAGTATGAATTAATTCATAGATTAAACATAAATATATCTTTTGTACTTTACTTGAAGTAGTACTTTTTAGTTAAAAACTACTCCTTGGAAATCCATCTTGACTTCACTCCCAGTTTATGCTATTATCGTTGCTAATTTCTGTCGTAGTTGGACGTTTTATCTTCTTATGACATCTCAGGCACTATATTTTACCGATATTCTTCATTTCCAACTTGATCAGGTATTCAAAATTTTTAAAATAAATTATAGCTTTAAAAGTGTATGTATATATAATTAATATAGAATTATTATTTAGTCCGGAGCGCTTGGAGCTTTGCCACATTTGTTGATGACAATAGCAGTGCCAACTGGAGGATATTTAGCTGATATGCTATGTAAAAAAGGAATTCTAACTACTACATCGGTTAGAAAAATATTTAATTGTGGAGGTTAGTTTTGTAAACTAAATTTGCAAATTTTATTGCCATTAAGAATAATGTCAATATATTTTCAGGATTTGGTCTAGAAGCCATTTTTCTACTTGTTGTTGGATATACTAGAAGTCATGCAGCCTCAGTTGTGGCATTAATTTTGGCCGTTGGTGTTAGTGGATTTGCAATTACAGGTAGTATTTCTTTGTTATAATGTTAAAATGTTGTTATTATATAATGTTAAAAGCTAATACTATTTTAGACGAATATTATTAAATTTTAACATTATACAGATAATTTCATGTAACGGTAATTCTTTAATTTAAAAACTGCAGTATATTATACATTATACTCTATTAGTTATTTTATTTAGACATGTTTTTTTAAATTGGCTTTCTCCTTCACGCGTTAGATGCAGCATCTGTTGCAGTTAAAAAACATTGACTTTCTTTAATAGTATCCTTCCTTCTTAAGTCCTCTTCTTTTTTGTGTCCAATTATAAATCTGTTTTAACAGTATCTTTTCTATTCCTATTGTTATCTGTCTATTTATCTATTGGTTTTATATTGCAATCTTAAAATTTTTTTTTTAATTTGTGATTTTGTCTAAACGTACCTTATCCTCTACTCAATATCTTTGGTTTCCTGTGTATTTAATATTTGTCGTATTTTTGCTCTTTCTGCCTATGGACACTAAAAAGGACCTGTTTAATAAAAAAAAATATGGATTTGACCAGGGATTCCTTGGGTTTTTCATTCCATTCGAATTCGATTCCAGGTTCCTCGGAATGGTAGGCTGTCACCTTAACCCCTCGGCCATCCTTTTTTTTCTATTTTTATCTTAATATAAAAGTCTGATTAAAAAAAAAAAACATTTACAAAATTTAGGATTTTACATAATTTATTCTTTTGTTTTCCTTTTTATCTTTAAATAATATTTAAGGATTTTTTGACACTTTGTCTTTATCTGTTCATCTTCAATATCTGAATCTTCACTTTCACTTTCATCTGACATTAATGCAACATTAATTTCAATGAATGTAGAATTTTCAGCTATGCATTCTATATTATAATCTTTTGGGGATAGAGTCTTACGATGTTTTTCAGCAGCTTCCAATTGTGGTAGGAACTTTTGTACTTTGGATAATACGGAACTTTGAATTGGTTTGATTATAGGTGCTTTCTTTTCAAATACAGTATTAGATTAGAAACATATTCTGCATCCGTAACGAAATGATCAACTGCCAAACTTTGACGGTTTACGTCTCTTCTCCATACTGAAAAAGCTTGGCCATGCAGCTGTCGATCTTTTTATTACATCAAGTCTTGTTTGTATCTCATATTTTAAAAGTAAATACTATTGTTTTCTATATTCTAACTTTTGTTTCTTGTTATTCCAAATTATTCTGTTTAAATATTGAATTTCTCAATTTTTATTGCTTTTAATACTTGAGATGTAACCTCTCTTACTAATTCATTTCATAATTTAATTGTAAAACCAGATATTTTATAGATAACACCTGGCCTATTATTTTAGTATTCAGTTTCAATTTACATATAATGGGATTATACATAGGTCGTAATATTGTAATATAGGTTAATACAGTTCTCTATAAATAGGGGCGGCCCTACAGAAAAGCGAAAAAAGCGATGCCTAGGGTCTCGCGCTTGTAAGGGCCTCGAAAATTGGTAATATATTTATTATAATAATATATATTGGTAATGAATATTTTTTAATAGTTACAGATATCGTACAATTATACATACGATCATTTTCAAAGTTAAAATTGATCAAGAACCACCTTCAATCGACAATTTGCGTGTTCTAGTACACCATTGTAACTTCCTGCTGCGATTTGAATGTGTGCCATCATATTTCCATCGCAGTTTACATATATACAGTATAGAGAATGGCCAATACCCCTGTGATAGCCAAGTTTTAGCCAAAATAGTCGATCTTGCTTCACTACAGTTCTATAATTAGCTGATCACACTGCATAAAAACGTTCTTTTATAATATTTGTACGAATAGTTATTGTTAATTATTTTAATTTAAGTTTCAGAGGTTTTTAAATTTTATTACTTGAACAAAGTTAGCAAGAAAATCCACTCATTTCTATCCAATTTCGATGATTTCTGAATATCGCGAATAGCATGAAAAATAATATAGAATCTTATCTGGATCCGATATTGCACATAACCATATTAATTAAAGCATAATTTCGTGAAATTTTTACTGCCGGAAATGTCAATAATGGCCGATAGATTAATGCTTTTTTGCGCAATCATTTCAAAATTTAGCTATTAGCAAATCAGTTCAAAGCAAACGTTACAAACGAGTTTTCTTTTTTCAACTTTCATTTACAAAGTTTAAAAAAATCCAGCAGCGAATTACTTAACTTTCCTGGAAACATTTAAAACCGCGTGGCCCAATCTGTTATGATATTTTATTTTAAAAAACTTTTTATATTTTTAACTATAATAGAATGGCAAAATGCTTAATTTTGAGAGTAGGGGTGGGTCTTATTAAAAAAAAAATTGTAAATGCTAATAACGAGTGAAATCGTCGTTAATTCCGACCTTATTATATGCCTTATTATATGATACACGACTCCCCTTTATCTCCCCACCCACTCGACCTTTAACCACCAAATTCTAATAAAATCTGCGGACGATTGTTTGATATATCTCTGTCGTTAATTCAACATATTTTAGTTTGAACTAGTGTAAAACTTGAGTGCAAAACAAATAATAAAGACATAAAATGGTGTTAATCACTAGATTTCGTTTCCGACCGTACTTACAACGTGGAAAGGTGTTTGTATTTGGCTAATCTATGACGGATTTTATAACGGGCCAGCGACAGCCATTGGCATTTAATCTCGCATTTGGCCACTCTCTATATACAGGTTCTTTACAAAGTTGTTGTCCTCCATAGAAACCAATGAGAGAAAGAAAGTTGTTGTTGATGACGCCACATCATGGTTGCGACCGACGTGCGGTATGATTGTACCTGTCGACAACCATGAGGATATCGGGATTATCAAACTACTTTACTCCATTTATGTTGTTTTTATGATTAAAATTATTTAAAATAAGATTATTACTTTTTTGTAATTGAAATGACATGCTTTCGTCAACTTTTACCTGAAGAATACATCAGTCTCGACAGTAGCCATATATGGTGACGCACGTAATCGGTGCACGACCATGGGAGCGCCATTTTGTTTAACTGAAGCAGACTTGCACACCGTTTGCAATAATTCGCCAACGTTTACCAAAGGTCTGTCAACAGAGCCAAAAAGAACGTGAGTGTTTCTAATTTTGCTGCAACGTTAGGGCAATGGAATACGCAGAATGTATTAGGAGATACTTTCTTTACTTTCGATCTTGTCCATTGAAAGAGATATTACATCATAACTGAACTTTTCCTCTTTAATTGATGAATTCGTAGTACAGGTATCCCTTGCTTAACGCGGAAGTTGATTAACGCGCGAAATTAATTGGGTCAATCCCTTTATATACGCAACAGAAGTTATAATTAATGCGGCTTTAACAACTATCTTTACTTAACACAGGTATTTTTTTCGGCAAATAAGATGTCGGTGAATTTGGTATTTTCGTATCGAGGGTTATTTCCGACTTAGATACGGAGTTTAATTACGATAGTTGTGAAATTTAAAACGTTACCGCTAATGTGATACTGTATTCTTTGTTTAAAAGCGCTTATTTTAAAACTTTATTTCATATTTTCTTTGCGTAAAATCAAATCGTAATGTCTGCAGAGAAAATGCATATCAGTCATATCTTGTTTGCTTTTTAATTTTCGTAAAAATATAACGCTCTAGAAACAGTAAAAATACTCGTAGTGAATATGGGGAAGCTGCTCCTGAACGTCGGACATATCAAATGTTGTTTTAAAAATTTCGTTCGGGAAATTTTGAACTAAAAGAACATGCGGAGCTCTCAAAAGCTGTTGGAGAAGAGAAATTTCAAAAATGAATTGTTAAAAAATCGAAGAATAGCTCGTGAATTTGCAACAAATCTTAGTGTGTCACGGACATGATGATTGTGTTCCGCATGCAATTAAGTGAAGGGAAAACAAACATGGAATATAATATTGTCTGACCAAAATAGGTAGCTCTAAGGTTTCATTTTATTTTTAAATTAATTATTCCTTTTTACCGTAGAAAACATTTTTACGGATAACAAAAGTAAAATAAAAATATTTATTAACTGAAAATTTTTTCTAGCGGGTCGGGATTGTGAGGTACCACTGTATTTGATATACGCACGCGGTAGCATCGAGGAATTAATTAATCAAAAGATATCTATATTCTCTATTTTCGAGATATACAGTATTTCATTGGGCTGCAATTTGAAAAAAATTGTAGACTTATAAATTCCCATTGTCTTCCTTCTGTCAGTTTGTCTGTCCTTCCTTAATCTCGAGAAAGGAATTACATAGATGAAATCCGAGAACAGATATGAAAAGGTTAGGGACAGGAGGCCCAATTAATTATACACGAATTTCCGATGCAAACCGGAAGTCATGTTATTTTAATTCAAAAATTTTCCCTTGAAAGGAGTTAGATAGATGACCTGCACGACTCCAGTGCTAACGGAAAAGAATGATGTACAGGGGCAAGACACTAATAATTTGAGATAGAGAGCATATACAGTATTTTAAATTTAAAAATGATTAAAAATATGATTAAAAATTACATCCCGACATTGTGACGATGTCACAATAAATAATTGCTAGTTTATTAAGTTAAGTATTTTCTGTTGATGAACATAACTTAAAACACACACACACACACAAACACACACACACACACAAAATGGAATTTTGGATTAAGTTATGAAAGGAAATGGAATGTGATTTTTATGGAATGCAAAGGAGTATTCGAAAGGTAAGCAGATAGAATGGAATATATTAATATAATATGATCTAAAGGAAGAAGTTATGGAATTTTATTTTAGTAAATTATATAAATAAAGTAATAATTTAACAAAATTTGATAAACATCAAACGCAAGACGATTTTAAAATAGGAAAGAGAGGTAGTGAAAATATTTAAAAATAGAAAATTGGCATTGGGGAATTCGTAATGACAAGAAAATATGCTGGAAAATCACGTACCGTAGTAGAATTAGAATTATTGATAGAATCGTAATTCTACGGTAAGTTAT